TGAGTCAACACGAGACACGTGTACCGGGTGGTACAGTGTCATTCTGCCAACCTGCATGTGAACCATTGCTACAGCTGTCAGGGTTGTCCTCTTCTCTGAGAGACCCTGCATTTCTATAGCACATTCAGAGAGAGGTATTATCCTGTTAACACCGGCAGCGGCTGTCCTCAGCTCCTCGAACAGTTTAGCTGACATAATTGTTATGTCTGCCCCACCGTCCAGAAGTGCTTCATGTGTGAGGACACCTTCGAGTGTCACTGACAGGTACGCCTTTTTGGCGACCCCCCTTCTGATAAAGTTACACAGAAACCTCTTGGGTTTTTTCTGACGCTTCTTCACACGTTCAGCCTTGTCTATGTAATCTTGGTTTGTCTGAACCGTCAGCACAGCTGTAGCTGTTTCTGCGTGTTCAGCTTGCGATGACTCGTCATCGTTTGTGTGTGTGATTACCCCCCTTTCATCCGATGAGGGGTTGTTTGAGGCAACAACAGCAACGTCTTGGTATGTTCCACCGACATCTGTAATGTTGTCATTCGCGCCCTCAGATGCAATAGTGATCACATCACTGCATAGTGCTCCAGGTTGGTTTCCCGTGTCAGTGTGTTTCAAAGTTTCTAAAAACCTACGTAATTTCTCTGTCTCTTCCGAGCTCAGAGGTGTAGGGCCTTGTTTCTGGAACTTTTGTGATTTCTTTGCCTCGGTTCGCTTCGTCCGAGGTGGGGGACGGCTAGGTAAGTCTTTTGGAGGTTCCTTTTCGGACTTCCCCTGATAATATGGGTCACTCTGGTTCCCATATCTTTGCGTCCTACGCACACCCCATTTACGATAATCACGTTCATCCTCTGAAAGAGGAGCTTTTTTGTCCCAGCGTGCACCTTCATGACGCGGTTTGTTAGCTTGAAAAGACTGCTTTTTCTCGCCTTTTTTAGGAGGAGGCGGCGAAGCACGCCGTCCTTCCAGTTCTAGGGAGTGGGGTTTAACCTTTATACCAGGAAACACCTCTATGGGCGTCTTAGCATGAGAACATGCCTCAAACACATTCACAGCACACTGTTTAATCTCATTGATGGATTTTTCTCTGAAATTTGCCATCATTTGTACTGACGTTTTAAAGTCAGTGTGGAGATTTTTGCTGAAAACAAATTTAAAACCTTCTTCCTCCTCCATTCCGGTTTCATTTCTGTTACCAAAATAAGCTTGGAAGATTCTTTTGTAATAAATCTTTGGATGTTCATGCTTGCCTTGCGTGACCTTGTCAGCAGCTGGGAAACCAGCAGGTCCCGTGCAGGGGTCATACTCTCTGATCAAAGCTTCGCACAGAAGGTTGTAATCCCTTCTCGTTGCATTAGGTAGACGCTCGATGAAGGTGAACACCTCTCTGTCTTAAGTGAGCCTTATCAGACTGATTCTATCCTCAACCGTAGCATTAGGATAACCACCCAGTCTGAATTCAAGGTCTCTGAGGTACGCTTTTGTTCCAGTTGAACCCATTGGTCCCGGTACAAAGCGCTGTACATGTTTTGAGATTTTTTGCAAATCATCTATTGAAGGAGGAAGTATCAACGGTCTCTCTTGCATGGTTTGTAGTGCAAACTTGTTCAGGTCTGTCCCTATCACTCGAGATGAGGGTGGAGGTGTTTCTCTACACACATGTGGAGGTTACAGAATGGGATTAAGAGCAAGAGGTGCACCAAAATCTTTCTGAGGTGATGGCGGGTGGCCTGGACTCTGACCTTGATCTTCTTTGAGTTCCAGACAACCTCGCCCCACGTCAGAACTTTTTTTTGTTGCCGTGGCTAATTTCTCCTCACAGGCTTTTAAGCGTTCCTGTGATGTTTGACATTCACTTTGTAAACGCACGCTCTGTAGGAGTAACGCGTCTTTTTCCAGTCTGCATTCGTTCAGAGCTTTTGATGCGAGCTGCAACTGTTGTTGTAGCACACAGTTGTCTGAACACAATGCTTGGTACTGAAGCTCTTTATCCCTAATCTTCTCTTCAAATGAGTGAGCCTGTAATGACAGCTGATTTTCTAAGAGCTCCCTCTCACCTTGCACCTCAACTGCACGTGTCTCTTCATCAAGTTTAGACTGTTCCATCAATTTGAGAAACCTCTCCTTGTCAGTTGCATATGCTATAGACAGCACGACAATTTGTGCAACCTGATGATCCAATTCGTCTTTGAGAAGCAGAGAAATTTTTGCTAACCGTTCATGGCTCTGCTTTTTATTCTCTTTAACCGTGG